TAGAATGACTGTTGGAAGACCAGTGATGCAAAGGGGGGGCGAACAAGGCACAGATATTTAATATCCTCAGTTCGAGAGGCTGTCCAAGGACATTTAATCTATCACACAAAGGAGCTCTCTGAAGTACCTGCGGCTGAGAAGTTCTTTGAAATTTAAGTTTTGTGCATTTTTATTTGGGGCCCTGGAGGCAGCCTTCTATCAAGAACATAAGTCCTTTATTCCTAGTTAACCTGTACTCTGGAAGTCATCCTGTGGATTTTGCTTGTTGGTACAGAAAGAGGATATAATTCCTGTAGTGACAGGAGTTTTTAAAAGTCCAGTACTTCTTCCTTTTAAAATTAACCTGGAAATAGAAACTTCAAAATTAATATTGTAATTCGGGTACGGCACTGAGGAAAGTTACATGAGAACATGGAAATGCCATGATTCCTCTCACTGTACTTTTCGACTGAGGGATTTTAACTGTCATATTTCAATGATTATTATTGTCAAAGAGGTATGATTGCACCCCAACAAATTATTCAAGCAAGAACTTCCTCATTAAAAAATGTTTAAAAAATGTTTTGTCAATGATGTTGTAAGCAGGTCTCCTAAGGAAATACCAGAGAGTTAATAACCAAAACTTTCCTTCAAGAAGTCTAACGTTCACAGCTATTTGAAGCCACTTACCTCCTAGGGTTCCCTAATCTTACCTCCCTGGCATCAAAGAACTCTACAAAAAAAAAAAAAACAAAAAAAAAAAACCCACAAAAAAGGATCATCTAAGAAACTACAAAAGCCTATCTTTGTTTAATACAGACGCGAAGCACATATACGAGAAGATGGATGTTAGCTGAACCCACTATAGTGATTGTTTCACAGTGTGTGTGAATGGAATCATCATGTTGCATACCTTAAACTTACGCCAATCATTTCTCAGTAAAATTGGGGGGAATAAGAAAAAAGAGATTTTTAAAGGGCTGAACACAGGTTAGTAGATAGTGAATATTAAATCAGTGATGGCAAAATAAATTAGATATAATAGGCTTGTGAGCTCCATGAGAGCAAGAATTATGTCTCCTGCGCCTATAAAATCACCAATTTCTAGCCCATGTACATGCTCAGTAGAGATTACTCACAGAATGTGGAAGAAAAGGAAGCGATGCATGGAAAGTTTTCTGTCCTAAAATGTTATTTCCCCTTAAAAATGTCTACTTTACCTTGAAAGAAATTGCTGTTCTAGTTTGTAAGCTCTTTAATAACTTCTTTATTGGTATCATTGTAAGGAACCCTATTTCTCGTCTTTACGATTTATTAACTATGTTAATAAATAGATGGCATCTATCGTATGTGCCAGCATTTCTTGAAGTCCTACAACTATATACAACATATATGGCCATTGTCCCCACTTTACAGATGAGGAAACTAAACCTCAAAGGGGTTAAGTCCTGTGCTGAAGGTTAAACACCCGAGTCCTGGCGGAACCACGATTTTACCTCTACAGAGCCTGGTTTGGGAGCCTGAGTGCGTACCTCCAAAGCCGAATCACCGTTCGAGCTTCAGTCAAATTATACCATGTTTACTCCTCCCTTGTGAGGAGGTCATTCAGCCTGAGGGCATGCATGTCTTTGCTGTTTTCTCCCCTCCTAATGCATGTGTGCTGGCTCTTCTAACCAGCAGAGAAAACCAGTCTTACCACTTGTGATCAGCTTTAGCAATGAGGTATAGAAGATCTGGTTTTCATGGTTTAAAAAAAAAAAAAAAAAAGGTCTTAATTAGATGACTGATTCTTTCTGTACTTCTGAGGGCTAACTGTAAGCAAAAATGACTCGGGGTCATAAACACCGCTCTTCCTGCAATCATATTTGATTTGCTTGTACCATCACTGTTCGCATACTCCCTAGTGTAAATAGGTTGGAAAAGCCCATTATGATTATTTCTAACACTGGCCGCTAAGATAAAACAATCTGTAATTCCCTTAATTATCTCCTAAACTTCCTTTTGGCTTATTGCTTCTGAAATTACTGACTGAGCTGAACAGGTCTGTTTTTATTGCTTGTGTCAGGTGCGTGGAACCATGCTCCAGTGCTTCTGACTACGGATGTAGATGTGCTGTTACAGGGCTACGTCACCACCCTGGCCTCGCTTGGCCTTTGCGTTTCACGAGGTACGTGAGCGGCAGAACTAGAACAGCGAGCCATCCGTGATTTCATGCTGTGTGTGCTTTCTATACTATTCCAATTCTTGGAGTACAAGCCTCACAGCATACGAGCCTAAAGTCCTGGCCTTAATCCGAGAAGTGGGTATTTATTTCCTAGGAGAGCTCGCTGAGGAGGTCTGGACACTGCCCTCTGACCCTGGTGCTTTTTCGCCGAGAGCTCTCGGGGACTGGAGAAATAGCGTAGGGTCCACCGTTACCACGTCTCTTAAGCATCACATAGCACTTAAAGGACACTGATTCTGGAGGCTTTTGAAAGAAGGTTGGATGGCTTTCTCTCTTTTGAAGCTGACTTCATGGAGGTACTGGACAGTTTCAAAATGTACTAAAGTAGCTGGTGTTCTGTCTCAAATTTCTTTTTGAAATCCCCAGAAATTTGGTCCCTGTATGAAACTCTCGGTAGTCTTTTCGAGCTCTTTGCTGTACTGTCCTCATGAGTCACACCTTATTGTCAAAGTTACTGTAGCTGTTAACTAAGAATTGGACCTCAGGGCAGGATTATAGGGGGTTTTTTTTGTTTTTGTTTTTTTCAGAAGGAAGTGTGAAAATTAGGAAGATGGAATTATTTTGTAGAGATGTAGGTGTCAGCCTATAAATACAGTTTATGCCATATTATGGAAAGTCTACTGAGCGACAGACTGTCATATCCTAACCCTAGGCGTTCTGCAGCAAATACAGCTCAAATAACAGAGAAACAAGCAACCTAAACTACCAGGCCGACAGAACTTGCACGTGCCTTCGGGCTCAATGGGATTCAGAAAATAAGGGTGCTCCTTCCAGGTTCCAACCAGGTGTGTGATTGTGAGAAACGCTCATCTTTAGATACAGGACTTTCACTTCTTCACTCTTGAAGTATAATGACTACATCAAAAAGCACAGGTAATGGATGATATGGAACCACACTTTCAAAAAGAGCAAGATCAAACGTCAATGCCAAATATCCGTGCAGAAATACTTCATTTCCCTCAAAAACTCCCATCACGACCTTCCTCAACTTGCCCCCAATTGTATAAACATTATGATTCTAAAGCAATATTAACTGCTTACTAAGGACACTGAATACAAAGCCCTTCAGTTTGGTAACCAGTACGTTATAAAATAACGTGCAGGGTGAATATGTGTCCTATAGTTAGCACACAATATATTTATTTTTACTATTTTAGACCAGTGACCGCTTGTGCCAGGAACATAACGGAATATATATGTATATATCGACATACACTGTAGGTACTATTTACACTAGGAGGCTCCTATCAACATACAATTCCACACACATCCCTGTCTGGAGCTTACAGCCTTCATTCCAAGTTTTTGGTCTAAAGGGTATCTTTAAATGTACATAGTTCCAATCTTTAGAAGAAAATTAAAGTGAATTCAAGTCTGTATTGTCTATCCTTTCTTTCTGCCTTTCTTTCCAGGTTAGCAGTTTATTTCTGCATTAATCACCCTGACAGAAGCAAGGCAACTCAATTTTCTGCTTCTGTAGGTAGGCACATCACTTTCTGTACAGCACTAGGCATGAAAAGGGCTGCAGCTAAGCTTTGGTTACTGGTGTAATTGAAATGCTATCCACACTATAGGGTGCATTAAAGTCAGATAACGGCAGTTCCTGTGGCCAATTTAAGTAGCTTGACTTCCCTGGGAAAAAAAAAATTGCCTGACAGATAAGGCAGACAAACTGGCTAATTCTCCAAGCATGTCTCTCATTGTGATCCTAGAAAAATGAGAAAAAAATGAATCACAGAACCACAAAATCAATTGACCCTCGGGTAGCTCATCAGGCAGCGAGCCTGATAAACCTAAAAGCTTTGTTAATGTCTGGCTGCCTGTATCCCACAGATAGAGCACTTTGTAAATGAACCTGCTTTGATAAATATATTAAGGAAAGCTGTGAATAAAGGCAGAGACTTCTCATTTGTAAATACAACCTCTGCTACATGGAATTAGAATGATAAAATGGAGTTCCATGTAATTAAGTTTGTATAAGGCCTGAAATCCGTGCAAATACTTTCCCTGAATTTTGAAAGAGAACTGTCAGTTCAATTAATCTGAACATCACCCCAAGAATGTACTGAACAAAATTAAGCTGCTGATAAAACCTGGGCCAGTATTTTGATAAGTAATTCCTATATCATTTCTTGGCCACTGTGATCATTTTATTTAATCCTCTGCCCCTCCTTTTCCTCAGTTACCCTCTAAGCCACATACAAAGGGTGATGGTCCATGCACCACACAGGAGTAATCTGTCAAATCACAAAGCTCAAATGGGAAAATCTTTTTCCCCCCTGTGTTAAAAAAAATTAGGGTAAATAAATTTCTATTAGGAAATGCTAAAAAGCCTGCCTCTACCTCACCCCTCAAAGCCTGGACAACAGAAACCTTCCCCGAGCTGGTAACTCTCTGTGAGTACTGCACAAAAAAATGATGGTAACTGGTTTCAATAGGAATGACCTGAATGAAAGCTGTGGTTCAATTCGAGAATTTTAAAGCACCGGAGATGGGAACAGTGAGGTGGACAAGGGAAGAAGAGAGAGGAGGAAAGGAGAGAAAGAGAGAAAGATGAAATCTGTCTTACAACCACCGTTTACCTAGTTACCTTTTCAGAGCCCCTACACACTACTTTCACACCTCAGGGTAGAAACACAGGCGTTGTCCGCCTCAGTCTCATTGGTTTCAGAAGCAAAACAAAACAAAAACAAAAACCCAACGAAAAAAACAAAACAAAAAAAAAAATAAAGAAAACAATTATTTAGAAATCGTATTGTAGCCATGGGAGAACGACATTGATTTTCGGGTCACTCACCAGTTGTTTACTTGGAGAATTGTAAGTCCTGTGTCTTGCGCTAACTGTTTCTTCTGCTCTTCGGAAGGGTACGGATGCTAATGAAAAAACAAATGTTTTAAAAGATGTATCAGATGTTAAGAAAGAGTCACTTACTTCTAAGAATGAAACCACCGTTTGTGATTTCTTTAGTCTATGGCTTGATTTTCCTAATCAAAGCTTTTTTTTTTTCTTATTATTATGTGTAGAAAAATACAGGCAGGGACAAGGACCCCAAACATGTAGTAACAGCCCCCCCCACCTTGTTCCTGCCACACTTTGGAGGGCCAGCAGTGAAAAGCAAAGTGATTCGGTCGTTCAGTTTTTTGAGCCGGTCGGGGATGGAAAGCACTTTTGGGATGGCATCAGATTTGTAGTCATCTACAATCACTGCAGTCACGCTAAGAGAACTGGTGTCAGGGCCATTTTATTCCACTGCCTAGAAAGCCTAGGTGAAGCCCTTCTCCTGTGTTATCTTTGTGAGGTGGCCAACATAATCATCATTTCCTAGTTAATCTGAGGTTACTGACAGTAGAAGTTTGGGAGGTGAGATAGTATATAATCACTACTGTTCTCAGAAGCCACAGCAACTATCCAATTACAGCAGAGTTTACTGACTGCATTTATGCTGACTCCTCTAAAGGACAGGGGGAGATGCGTTCATTCTTGCTGGCTACCACTCTGCGTTAACACAATGGGTCACACACAATGACCACACCTCAAAAGGAGTCAATTATGTGCAATGCATCATATAGAAATTTACATTTTACCTTACAGTATGGTGATAAGAGAATGAAGCCATAGGATTTCGGTGCTTTTTAATTCCTTACTTCCCATCACAGCTCACAGACATTTGTACTGAGCCATCCCCTCCCCCCCATCATCAACCACTTGCCCCCATCATCCTCGATTCAAGGACTGTTATTTTAGAAGCATACATTCACTTTAAGAGGCACTGACTGTACTTGCATGTACATAATGATAAAACATGCCTCTAGAGAGGTCCCTGCTTTAAATTCACTGGTTTTCTTAAGCAGAAAAGTAAACTTTTTTTTTTTATCCAGCACGTCAAAGTTGCTCATAAACTAGGAAGCCTTTGATATGACTTCCCATCAACATTATTAAAGGGTGACATTAAGAACAACCAAGTATTCCATTCAGAGTATTCTAATCATTCCTACGTTTGAGAGAATGAATGTTTTTCAATCATCGAAAATTTTATTCTTCAGGTATTTCGTCTTCTGTAATGGTGTGCATTATCCAAAATGTGCACAATTACTTATTAGCAAACCCAAATGCCATTAGGTTAAACAAAATCCCCTGTGCAGCAAAAGGGGTTAACCAGATCTGTATTAATATAGAAGCCAGGCTTTTAATATTCTGCAAATGTTAACAAAGAAAGATGATAATGTTGAGTTAATATGGGTTAAGCATAAAATGAAAATAAATTTTTCTGATTGCGAGGTGTTGACACTTTTTTGGCTAGGGCCTCCAGCCTGTTCCTGAAAGCTGTGTAATTACAGAAGGCTTTTCCCCTCCTTCCCCCTCCTGCTTCGAGCCTGCCCACATTAGCAATGACCCCTTCACTGCTTCAAAAACCACTAATGGTCTTCAGCACGGGCAAGAAAAATGAACAGGATAAATTGGAATCCACAGTCAGTAATTTGCATCCTATGAGGCTGCTTTGGCCACTCACACTCATTCCTGGCCATCAATCGTTGCCTGTCAGGTGCTGCACTCTGCCACCACGACAAATACTCCTCCTAACACTCTGATTCGTCCAAACAATGTAATTGTCCTCTATTCTCCTTTTGGTAACGGAGATAATGAATGACTACCCAAACAAGGACTGCTCATCACAGACCCCCGGGTGGCTTCAAACTGGAAAAGGCCTCGGGTACAAATTTTAATTGACCGAAAACAGTGGTTGGGGGAAAATGACCAAAAACCATCCCCAGATCCTTCTTGTCATAGCATTTTCCTACCAAATTTGAGGAGCGCCTTTTGACTTTTTGTTCCTCTCAGACTCTGAAAGCCTAGGTTTATAGATTATTTTCCATGTAATGGAGTAGTTAATAGAAATAAATTCTACGAATAACAAAAATGAAAACAAGGACTCATTGCAAGAGTGTATGGATACACATCAGTCACGTCAACATCCGGGGTGTCGGTTCTTTACATGGTGTGTTCTTTTTGGCGTGTTTAGCCTTGCTCACTGTTTGATGTGTTTGCTCAAGGCAGGTCTGACAAAACACGGGTGCTGTGGTGTGTGTGTGTGTGCCTGTGAAAGAGAGGGGCAGAGGCACACACATACACTCACACACACACAAGATTTAGATGAAATTAAGGGTAGGGTGTTAAGGAAGCAGAAGAGTAGAAAGCTGATGTCAGTGGAAAGCCAGTTCCTTCAGGTAGAACGATAAATTCTGATCAAATAACAAGAATTCTTTCCAGTGTTCTAGTAGAAATTTAGTCAAATGACCACAAAATTACATCAACAGTGCACTTTATCTTGGGAATCCCTGAGCAGTACTTTCACTATGAGAACAGTTGCAAATTCCATCCACAATCATTAAAAAAATTGGGACCTTACCAAATTCACCTTGCACAGATGGCTTTTTTTTTTAATTAATAGGGAAGACCATAATAACTTTAACTTATTTAAATAACGTTCTGTGGTTTCTGAACGTTCGTGATTCTATGCCCCTTATATACATGGAGTGGACTGTTTATCTGAAAGTGTTCTGGCAGTCAGCCACTATATTTCTAAAATTAAAAAAGGGACGGAAAACAATCAGCTTTCAGAGGAATTGGAACCATGGCAATGTGTTTTGGATTAATTTACAAATATATGTATATATTTAAGGCCTAACTGTAGAACTAGAGAATTTCTACTACGTGGTCTATCATATGCATTCTTCTACTTTATTAGAGCAGACATCATATTGAAATAATAAACATGGGAAGCCTTCACTTCTTCTTTGATGTATATTACTAAATGTCTGACTGGCTCAAATTTAAAATAAACTTTGGTATGTTTGCACTTGAAAACTGGAAGTAGACCACAAGCAATAATTTGTTGTCAGTTTCCATATTCTTGGACTAAAGCTATAGTTTAGTCTGTTCACTGTTGGGGGCCAACCCACTCTGGTCCAGTGGCCCAGAGGTGGCTCAACTTACTTTTAAGAACACACACCGTAACATAATAGCGATGATGATGATTCCCTTCATCAAGAAAGAACCAACGTAGGTCAAAGTTTTTCACTTCCCAAAATAGTTCTAAAGCCACTGGTGAATAGAAGTGAGTCACAAAGATCCCCTTACTCTGAATATCAACAGACAACTGTCCAGAAAGTTAATAAGACATGTATGGCTCACAACTCCACGTAGATAAAGAATATATTTAATTGCCTCTTTTTCTAAAGACTCATTATCATATTTATTCAAGATGCTAACCTTAGTTAGAACTTCTCCCCCTCACTCCTTTTCAGGTTAACCTACCTGGTTTATCAAGTACATGGGAACATCTCCAATATCCTTAGAATACATCAGTGGAACAGGTTTTAGGTGAAATTATTTAATAACGATTTGCTTTTGTGATTAACCTCTCTACAATAATGTCCAAACTGGAAATGATCTGTCATCAATTTTATTCTATGTTGAAAGGATTTATACTGATGTTTAAAAATACTTCAAGTGATATTTCTAATCATCTCATGAATTAGAAGTACAGGATAAATGAAAATGCTAGTACTTGGGCTATTTCCAATTTTTTTTTACCCTTCTATCAACTGAACCATAGTTAAATAAAATGTGAGGTTCTCATAAAAAAAGTTTTTCCCATATAGTGTTGAGCAAACTGTAGAACATGTAGGACATGTATTAATTTTTTTGTAAAACAGATACATGAATTCATAGATTAATTGAACATATATAATATATATATATATGTGTGTATATATATCCTTGTAATAAAAGAAAACCATCTGGAAAATCACACACCAATAATGGTTCATGTTGTGTAGGGTAGGCGGTAGAGGCTTTTACTTTTTGTTTATAGATACACTATACTGTCTCTCCTTGTACTGCCTCAAACAATTTTTTAAATACAATAGGAATTTTAAAATTAAAATTGTAATTTATACACTCTGCATTAAAATATTTTTTAAATGTTTATTTATTTTGAGAATGGGCAGAGAGAGAGACACACACAGAATCCAAAGCATGCTGCGAAGAAGCAGAATCCGAAGATCAGGACATGGGGTTTGAACTCAGGAACTGTGAGATTATGACCTGAGCCAAAGTTAAATCCTTAACCAACTGAGCCACCTAGTCGCCCCACTCTGCATTTTTAAAGCACTGTAGTAATTTAACATTTTTATTAAGCTAGATATTCTTTTATGTTACGGCAACGATCTGACTGGATAATTTTTCAAAGCAGAACATCTCTAGGATAAGTCTTGCCTCCTTTCCTACCCAAGGACTTGGACTCACTTGCTGGCCTCTGAAGCCTACTGATGAGCTAGCTCTTTGAAGACCAACGTCCAATTCGTCAAATTACTTCTGCAATGATATAATGTAACCATTAAGATAAATGACCGAATAATTTGTTGAGCAGGTAAGTCTTAGTTTGAGCAAAACCTTGGAAACTGATCATTGTGACGACCGCCTCCTTTCCTTCAATCTGCTCCAAGACACCACTCATGCTACAGAATTAATCCAGGTGACTTAGATTTTGATGGTGCCACTAGGATATGGAACCCTCTGAGCAATTTTCCTGAGATGGACAATAAAATCGCATCCGGGTGAATATCCATGACAGCTCTAGGACTGTGCTTCCTGAACTTGGGTACAAGTAGAGGTGCTGAAGACTGCCCTTGAGTAAGTACGTGTGCATTTTCCTGGAATGTCAAATGTGTTCAATGGCCATGAATTTAACATCTCTTTCTTATGTAAACAAAAATTCCTCTGTTCTAACTGTAATGTATATAACAAATACAATTCTCAGGTGAAACAAGAAAGAATGAATATGTTTAAAACCCATCACATCCTCACAACT